AATAAGGAGAAAGAATCAGATAAACGTAGCAATCACTGATTTTCTGCAAATGGGCAACGCTCAATCGCCTCGTACAGATTCTCCTCGCTTCGCTACAGCCTCCAGGTCCCTCTCTCTACTCTCTCTCGCAATACCCCATCAAATTTTTTTGATTGTATCTGATTGTCGCTGCAGGGCTTTTACTCAGAAGGAACTGGAAGATCTTAAGTTGCTGTTCCAGTCCCTCGCCACTCGGTCAAATAGCAATGGCAAATACGTATCGCCCTCTGTTTTTGAGGTCAGTTTCTTTGTCTTCTCCATTGCCTAAATGGGTAGTTTCTGATTTTGCTCTTCACCGATTCTTTTGGTTTTTCTTTTGGTAGTCGTTTTTTGGACTTCGTGGTCCTCTTGGGGACAGATTGTTCGATTTAGTGACACAGAAGCGTAAGGATCAAAAGCTCACCTATGAAGACCTCGTAATAGCTAAAGTAAGTCATTGGGGTTTCCCTGTTCTTCAAATTCAATGTCAGTCAAAAGTCAATACTTCACATTCAATATATCCATTCATTGATCGGTAGTTTAGTTCTCTAAGCTCATAGCCTGTTAGGCCATCTTGAATTTGAAGAGCTATAGCAGTATTTCAAAGGTTAGTTAATTACTCAAATTGTTTGATTTTGGTGCTCCTTTATTTTTCTCTTCTCACCCAACGTAGAGTTTTTTTCCCCTCTCTTTTTTCTTTAAGCTTTCTAAGCTCGCTGCCCGTGGCCTGGAAACTTGCAAGTGAGTTTGTTTTGATAATGGTACATTACAAGTGAGGAGAGGAGGAATTCGAACCTTCAACCATGAGAGAACATGCTAATATCTTACCGCTCAACTTGTAATTGAATTTTGATGTGTCGTTTTTCACTGTATTCGAAATCAACATCAGTTTTTACATTAGACGTCTAGATGGCCTGGAAAGAGTGTGTAAGACATAAGGAATCCACGTTTACTCTATTGGTTTGTCAAGCTTGGGATTTGTTGGACAAACTCATGGGTTTCAACAATACCCCAAACCGATACTCTCCTCAAACCCATTCCCTCTTACAAATTTTCTAAACTCAGGCTTCTTAAATATCCACTTAAACCACATGTTTCAGATGCCAAACCCGTGCTCCAAACGTCTCCTAGAGTTGTTGTCAAACTTTTTGGACATCTTGTTTTTGGTCATTCATTTTATGGATCTTTGAAACCCATCATATATTCTTATTTTAGTCGTGACGATAGTTCTTATTTGTCATCATTTGCATTGAAGGGCACTTATGAAAAAGGAACAAATGAAGAAATTGAAGGGTTCATTTATCAGTTGTTAGATGTATCAGATGATGGTACCCTTGGAAGGTAATATCCATGTCTTTCTTTTTCTTTATAGAGCTTGAATATCAGAGACTAAACTCTATGACAACCCTCCACCGTGTTGTTTCCATCCCATCTATGACCCTCCATCGAATCCGGAAAAATATAATTCTAATTTAAAATCTGATTCAATGTGATTATATGTGCCTTCTTAGTTTTCATGCCAATGCCAGGTCTGATCTGGAATCGGTTCTAATAGCAATTTTCAATTATATATTCTCCTCGGGGAATAATGAACCTGGATTGGATTCACATCAGGATGCTGTACAAATATTTGTTCGTGCGGCAACTTTCTCAGAGAATAATGAACAATTTACTTATGAAGATTTCAAAAACTGGTGTACTCTGCTTCCATCTGTCAGGAAGTTTCTTGGAAGTTTACTGATGCCACCTGACATAGGTAGTATTTTCTTATCTTCAAATAAATCTCAGTCCAGTACTAGTTACTTTTAAGTGATTTAGTACCACTAGTTGTCACAGTTGAATTATGTATCTTCGAATTTCTTTGCTGATCCTGTGTTTTCTTTCATGAATGATTATGCTTTATTTTGATGAAGTGTTGTCTTAATAACGATAAACCCTTGTTGTCTCTCAAAACTGGTGTTAAGGTGGGCAAAGCCTTCCTGGATTATAGTGTGGGTAGGCCATGAGTATAATAAAAAGATAGGCCATCCTATTATCTCGTTATCTTTCTTTAAAACTTCACTATTTAATATAAGTCCCGGACCATATTGACGGTTTTCTGGATATTGAAACTTCAAAAAAAGGGCTCAGTTATGTAATTCTTATGCATTTTTATGGTGGTTGTGTAGGAAGACCTGGTTGTCAAGTTCCAAGGCTGGTATATGGAGAAAATATAGATTCTAATCTTGTATTATTGAAGAAGGAATATGCTTGGCATTTAGGAGGAGCTCTTCCTCAGCACGAGCTGGAGGAATGGAGACTTCTTTACCACAGTGCAATAAATGGGCTGAGTTTCACTACATTTTTGGGTAACATAACGTGAGTACTTCTTTCTCTTTCCTTTTTGGAGCCATTTTTAATTTTTTACAAGTAACAAGATTTCCACTGGAATAAGAATCGTTAAAAGCTTCTATTATGGGCTTGAATTCTAAGGAAGGAGATTCTCTTCTCTCATTTTCTCCAAAGTTCTATGTTAAAGAATGTATCTAAAGCATATAAGCTCTTGGATTTAGTGTTAATTTAACATTGATGGTCGCTCATCAAATCTTGTGCAAATTTTTTAGCTCAATATGTATAAATAATTGATTGTACCATAACCTATCAACTTTTAAGTTTTCGAATTTAGTTATTAGTGAAGCTCTGCACCTTAGACATGAAGTCATAAAACATCTCAAATACTACTCTAGAATCTCAAGTTGGTTGCTTTAAGGTAAAAAGTACAATACGTACCGCGACACGATTCTCAATCTATCTCCTATATTAGATTTAATCCATGCTTGACTTGTCATGTTGATCAATCAAACATTTCCGGACAAGCTCCGAAATTCAAATTATATCTCGTGTCTCAAGGATCCCTTAGTCTTGTCCCATTAGTTTTCTTTTCTATTCAAGCTCAGAAGTTTAAATTGTCAGAATAGTTTCTAGGGTGGCTTTCTCTGGGATGGTTGAAACTGTGTGTTGAGTTGTGTGCTGTTAATTGTGTTAGATGGTGAGTGCAACCGAATTCGAAAGAGGAGCTGAGCTGAGCTTGCTTTTTATTAATTGCTTGATTAAATTTTGCAGTATCGACGGTGGACCAACTGTGCTGATAGTGAAGGATAAACAAGGTTATATATATGGAGGTTATGCTTCTCAGCCATTGGAGAAGCATGGTGATTTCTATGGAGATTTGAAATCCTTTCTGTTTCAGCTATATCCCAAGGCTGCTATATTCAAACCAACTGGAGCAAACAATAACATTCAATGGGTAACTTCTCCACTTGCTTTCTAATATTCTTCTCCCTTGACATTTTATCTATCTAAATTTTTTCCCTTTGAAGTTTTTCCATCTCTCTCTAAACTTTTAACTCCCTTTTCCCCTCTAATTTTTTTTCCGATTCGAACCTTGTGATTTAAGCTTAGTTTCAATAGTGTATTGTTTTTGTTGTTACCAATGTCATTTCTATTTACGTGTTAATGGACTAGTGTTTCTATTTGATCCTGAGTTTACAAGTCTTGTGCTTGTCAGTGTGCTGTAAATTTCAGTTCAGAGAGTATACCAAACGGCATTGGGTTCGGAGGACGGGTGAACCACTTCGGTCTCTTCATATCAGCGAGCTTCGATCAGGGGCAGACGTTCGCATGCACAACATTCGGGAGCCCGTGCCTGTCGAAGGTGAACCGGGTGGACCCGGAAGTGATAGAATGCTGGGGAGTAGGAGCAGGACAACAGGAAAGACAGAGTAGTAACAATAACAATAACGGCAGTAAGGGCACCGTGTTAGACAGGTTTAAAGAGGATCGCCATATGCTCAACATGGTCGGTCTCGCCAATTCCAGTGACTGATCGGTATACTATTTATTCTTTTTAATATATAGTTAATAATATTTAGGAGAAACGAATCGGCGTGGGAGATTTATACTACTTATAGTATAAAGTACATACACGTTCTGTTTGTCGTTGGATTCTTCATTATTCTTAAATAATGCCGTTGTAAATTTTGGGAAGTTGTGTTCGTATTCGTAGTACTACAAATTTCTCCATGTGTCGAGGATGTCGATATAGAAAACATTAAAAAACTATGATCCTAAACAATATTTAATTGGTCAAAATTATGATATCAATAGTGAACAGCATGCACATTGTGATCAGCAAAAGCATGTACATAAKCTCACAAAAATTATTTACAAAACCAAATGTGTAGAAAGAAATTCATGGGAGTACTGGACTTGGAAAAATAAATTTAAAAGGATTTTTTCTTTTTTTTTCCCACAGGCAAACAAAATTTCATTTTGCTAATAATATGTAAAAACCTTTTCAAAAAGCACCTATATCACGACAAAAACACTTTTCCGATCAAAATTATCAATTTTAGAAGTAATTTTATAATTTTCTTATTGATAATTTAGAAGTACTTTTTAAAAGAGCCCAACATGATATTAAATATACATGTCCATGTATTTATGAATTGGGTTCAAACTTCGACAAACATTTCTAAATTTCATTAATATAAACTTAATATTAATATAAATCATTATTTATTTATTTATTTATTAATGATGAATCAATTATATGTTAATTTATATATTTTTTTTCAGTTTTTATACTTTTTTATAACTTTTCTTGTGACCTTTCCATGACATTCCCATGAAATTAAAACCCAAGACAAATACACTCGAAAATCCTGCGGCTAACAACTAAAGCACTTTTGCTAAAAGCACCAATGAAAGACTTTGGTCTACCATATTGATCCATTTACAAATATAAACCAAAACATGATTAAAATAAATTAAAAGCACTTCAAAAGAAATTGCAAGAAGGTTATGTAGAGTGTTCTTCAATCCTTCACCAATAATTAGCCTTTTTTGAAAAGCATTTTTACGTTGGATTTTGATATATCTCCTTCTACCTCATATACTTCAGCAAACAAAAATTCAAACAATATACGAATCAACACATCAGAGTAAAACAAATCAATTCTCAACAAACTTGGATAACAAATCTCTATATTGAAGGCTCCTTGAAATCAATGTGAAAATCTCCAGATCAATTAGCAGAGCGAGAAGTAACAATACTCATTAAAGAAACTAAATCACAAAATTGTGTAGTTATCCCAACAGAAAATCGGAGGAAGAAAAGAAAAGAGATAAAATCAAAACCCTAGGGGATTTCAGTACCTCCTACCACCACGTCCGCCCAATCCAAATCCAACCTGTTGCGGCACGGACGGATCGACCTGAACAAGCCCTGGAATATCGTTCATTCCAAGCGCAGACAGCATATCGAGCGTCTCCTTATCGACCTCGATTTGATCGGTTTTAATGGCGGAGACGTCAGGGACGAAGTCCATCCGGCGCTCGCGCTCTTCCTCTTGAAGCTTGAGGGAGATGCCACGGACCGGTCCCTTCTGGATCCGCTTCATGAGGTGAGTGGAGAATCCGGCGATCTTGTTTCGCAGTCTCTTGGAGGGGATAATGGCGACCTCTTCGAGGATCTTCTTGTTCGTATGGAAGTCGAGGGTCATGCGCGAGTAGTAGCGCTCGATGACTTGACGGGAAGATTTCTTCACGGTTTTGGTGCGAACGCGGCCCATGGTGCTGCCGGAGAAATCGTCTGCAAGCGGCCGGAGAGTGGAGAAGGCGTCGGAAGAAGAGGCGGCGGTTCTCGGAGAGCAGAATTTTTACGTGAACAGAAGATTAGGTTTTGGGGCTTATATATTTCAATAAATGGATTGGGCTTTTAAGATCGCAAATGCGGCCCACTGGAGTGTTTTTTTTTTTTTCGAGGAAATAATTTGTCATTATGGAAAAATTTTACAGATCTATCGTTAATTTTTTAAATATTTGAATAAATAAAATAATTTTTATCCCAAACTTCTCAAGCTATATCAATTTTTACAAAAACTTCCAATTTGGTCCCATTAGAAGTGTTGCAATATTTACCTTTAATTTGAATAAATGTTATAACTTTTGTCACTATTATTCAAAGAATTACTAAAATAATAGTTTATAAAAATTTGAATGATAAAATATTGGACAAAATACATTTTTGGTCCCTGAGTAGGTGTCTATTTGGTCACTGAAGTTTTAAAATGAACATCCTTCGGGTTTGAGGTAGGTGTCTAATTGGTCATGAGATTTCAAAATGAACACTTCTGATCCTTCAAGTTTAAAGTAGGTGTCAACTTGGTTCCTAAAGTTTTAAAATGAACACTTTTGATCCCTAAAGTTTGAGAAATGGTTCTAAATGGTCTTTTTTTACTATTAATTAATTAATATTAAAATCACGTGACAAATTGCAATTAAATTATTTATTGTGGTTGCTGTGACAGATTATATTAATTAAATAATATATGTGTAGGTGATGGTGCTTTCTCCCTCCTCTCATCTTTTCCTCTCTCTTTCTCTCACCCTTTTCCGGCGACCACCACGTCGTTATAATATTAGTTAATTAACAGTAAAAAAAATCAGGGACCATTTAGAACTATTTCTCAAAGTTCATTGACCAAAAGTGTTTATTTTAAAACTTCAGGAACCAAGTTGACACCTACTTTAAATCTCAAGAACTAAAAGTGCATTTTGAAACTTCAGGGACCAATTAGACACCTCCCTAAAATCTCAGAGATTAGTGTTCATTTTGAAACTTCAGGAATCAAGTAGACATCTACCTCAAATCTCACGGACCAAAAATGTATTTTGCCCTAAAATATTTGTCTAATATGAAATTGATGAAACTTAAACAAATAACAGTCTCAAAGTTGGAAAATTTACGAGTTTTGGTCGATTTATTTAATTATCGAGTTTGATGTTGGGTAAGTCTTAAACTTTTATTGAAATAAGTGAGTTTATAAAGATTTTATACTGTTCAAGTTTAGGAAAATTTTATTGTTGAAATTTGGGACCGTTGTCTGAACTTTAACTTGATGAAATTCATAGTTTATGGTGAAAGTCTGTATACTTTGCCAAATTTAGGAATAAAAGTTAATTTTACTCCTTATAAATTTTTGGTTTACTTTGATCATTGTACTATAAATTTTTGTTCATTATAATTTATGTACTTTGAAAACGTTCGTTTTTGTTTCTACACTTTTAAAAGTGACCATTTTGATCCCTTCCAAAATTGAGAGAATCAAATTGATGTGCACTCAAATCATATAATATAAATTTATCATCAGGTAATTTTAACACTAAAAAAAATATTTGAAAAGTCTAAAAAGCATATGGGCGTAAATTAATTTTTCCCTTTTTGCCATGTTACTCTCTCTTTTGGAGTTTTTCTTTTCTTTTCTTTTCTTAAACCAGTTATATTCTTCTTTTTTTTCTAATACAACTAGAGATGGTAATTCGAACCCAAGACCCAATTGAAGATGGATATCCTACCAGAGCTAAGTTTAGGTTAGCGTCACATTCCTTTGCGTGATTGCTACTTTGGACATCTACAAATCTAACGTGATTTTTTAGTACAACAATTGTTTCATCTCTCTCACTCACCTTCTCTTCTGAAACCAATACCTAACATACTCCACTAACAAAACTTAGTTTATGCACACTTGAAAAATGTGTTATTGGTAGGTTATAAATATTTATTCAATGATAGTTTAACAGGTGAAGACACTTAGTTCACCTAGTTCTAACTAAAATGTCGTCAGTTAGAAACTCCACCCTCTTATTTTGTACTAAAGAAAACTTAATATTTACACAAAATTAATTACTTATCGTTGAATCATAATTTTGGCCAATTATGAAATGTCACATCATTATTATTTTGGCCAATTATGAAATGTCACATCATCATTTTAAGTTGATGTCAAAATTATATATGGCTAAATCTAGGACAAATCACAAATTTACACGTGTCTACAAATTAAATTTCAAACACATAAAATTAACCAATCAAATAATATTTGTGTGTCTTTCTTACAAATGTATGATGACAGTGGCTAACTAAATCAGCCCATGTTGAGATTATACTCAGATTCATGCAAGCCCATAAGAAAAAGGAAAGTCCACCAAACTCTATAAATAAATAAGGTCACTCGTGCGAAGGCATTTAGACTCAAAGCCATGAGATCTAAGCCAACCAGACTTGAAATTACTAGACTTTTTTTTTTCAATATCATTGAGTATCCATGTCAGTTTACGCGCACCTTGACTAGTCTCACGGGACAATCGTCTGACCCTACAACATTTGGTACTAGAAAATATATAGGAATTAGTAATTCCTAAAATAGGTGACTATCATGAGGTTTGAACTCATTACCTCCTAATTAACCCTAGTCTTTTTGGATCAATGAGTCATCCATGATGATTACTAAACTTCAAAAATTAGATCTTCTCTTCGTCAAGCTGTAAGCTGGAGAACTTCATCAAGTTTGATAGTCGAAGACTTCATCAAGCTGTATAATCGAAGAACTTCGTCAAGTTGCAAGTTAGAGAATTTCATAAAAGCTGCAAGTTTGAGAACTTCATCAAAAGTTGTATAGTCGAAGACCTGTCAGGCTGCATAACCAAAGTCTTCAACAAGCTCAAAGCCAAAAACCTAAAAAATACAGTTAAAAGTCAAAGATGCCAACCTCCTTATTTGGAGAACAATTTCATAGCCCTCAAATCAAAGTTTACATCCCAAAGAAAACATCACAGGATCAACAAATTTATAAAAAAAAAAAAGTTTAACGATAAATTGTTGATTTCATCTTGAATAATTAAGGAGCTGCTGTGTGTTCATTGAAAAAATATTGGTTGACCTGACCCATATGATTCTCAAACAATACTGAAGCCGCGGAAAAAATGAATTGAAAATAATTTCCATAATCTCGTAGTATTAAAAATTCTCTCAATCAAATGCCGTTAAATCTAATATAGATTTCTTATAAATCAAAATTGCTCATCTAGCCAGCCGGCCAAATGTCTGAATCTTTCTCGTCTCTGAAATCTTGTTCATCCTGCCGGCGGAATCATAGTCTTAAAATTTATACTTTGTGTTGCCTTGCTTTTGGATTTTAAAATAAAATGCAGGTATGTCGTATCTCTTAATGCCGTGGATTTTTAATTTAGTCTCTAATATAGTTGAAAATTTTTAAGATATAGTCTCATATATTTTAATATTTTTCAATCTAGTCACTCTCTGTTGGTAAATGTTAAAATTTACCGATGAAGATGGCATAATAGTTAGTGAATTAACAAAAGTTTAGAGCAAAAAAGTGTCTACTAGGTAAAGTTTCTAATTTCTCCAAATTTCTAGGAATTTGATAGAAATTTCAAGTTTTTCTTCCGTTAGATGATTTTTTTTTATCCTATAAATTTCTAAAAATTTTGTACTAGGTAAGTTTATCATCATGCAATTTTAACATTCGTCAACAGTGACCGACTGAATTTAAAATTTTTAAAAACATAAGAATCTAAATTGAAATATTTTAAATAATAGGAACTCAATTGAAAACACTTTCNAAAGTAGAAATTTAGAATGAAGGTATTAAATTTCGTTCACTTTGTATGATATTTTTATATATTTATAAGTTGGACATTAATACAATGAATGTATGAATATTTTCATCATCTTGTTATTATTTTTTTCTTTTTTCTTTGTTATGATCATGTGATGATGAGGTTGATAGGAGAGTTTGACTTTTCAACGAGAATATGATCTCTGGGAGAGATTAGTTCATAGACTTCATTTTCTGCAATATTTTTATATATCGAAATCAACGATTAAAAAAAGGCAAACTCTCCTTATAGATTAATAAAAAAAATTTAAGAGATACATTTATATTAAAAAATTATTTTTCAATTCATTTTCTAACTAGCATCGAGATGTAAAAATATATAACATTTTCTTTAAAAATCGGAAATTTAAATCTCCACCCACTCATTTTTTTTTTTTGTAATAAATTTTCTTTTAAATTGGATTGTACTCTATTTTATAAACAAAAATCCCTTGAAGTGGTCAGTGGGAGGAATAATTAACTACGGACTACCTACTGTCTACACGCAACCAATAAATTTTCTTTTTTTTTTTTTTTCAATTAATGACAAATTTATTATCAAATAAAGTAATTAGTAAATTGATTTAAAATTCTCATCCTAAAGTCAAATATTTGCCACTTGTAATTTTTTTTACAATGAAAACTTACTAGTAAAGGTGTGCAAGTTCAGGTTATGGCATCTTAAAAAAAGATATTTTTGGATCTCAATTTAAGACTATATATGATTTAACTCTGTATCATTAGAAATTAGAAATTAGAAAATTTGATTTTGAATCCCGAACCAAGGAAAATAAAGTTAAAATAAATTTTCGAAATTGTGAAATGTCTAAATAATCTCTAGGAGATAATGGTTTGTTTTATTTATTTATTTATTAAGCTAGGATAGAGCCATTTTTAAAGTCAAAGAAGGCATTAAATTGAACACTGGCCATTAACACATTCAACTGTAATTGTAAAAAATAATAATAAATAAATAAATAATAAAATAAAATATTTAAACTTTAAAAGTACATTGGTTGGGAATCAATCTCACAACTGATGGTTAGATATATATTTTAATTACGGTTGACCTATCCCCACTTTAAAAATATTAGTTAATTTAAAATATTTAACTTTATAAATAATTTTTTTTAAACGATAAATTTGATCTATCTTCGTAAGACTTTCATTCAACAAACTAAAAAGTGAGCTAGGTCAAGATTAAAAAAGAAATTCTTTACAGGGCTATGCAATTCATGATATAAATTTTTGCCAACATCAATGTAGCTCGGTAGTTGACATCTACTCATTCTCTTGAAGTCGTAGATTCAAATCACATGCCTTCAATTTGTTGTAATTTAAAAAAAAAAAACAACTCGTGATATAAATCTTTGGTTAATGATAAAAAATTCTATATTGAGCCAGTGGAATGATAGAAGTCTATGCTTATATGATGTTGTAATCTAATATTGGCACATTTGACAAAATCAAAGTTTGGATTAAGACTAAGTAGTATTTATTTAAAAAAGAACACAATAAAAATACTCTTGTTCAATATGATTTGAATAACATGATCATTTTGACTATAATCTTGTGGAAAAGTAAGTGAAGAAAATGGGAAACAGATTCATTTTGTCTTCCACCGAAAATTTATTTTTTACTTTTTTATTTTTCCTCCTTTCCATTTCAACAGTTATATTTAATTATGTTACTCAAATGATTTCATAGATGTTAATAAAAAATTTTAAAATAAGATATATGAATTTAATTATATAAAAAGAATACATAAATGTTTGTTAATTTCTCATTTTGAAATTCAAGCGGAAGAGTAAACTTTTGGCTCAAGAAAAGCAACAAAATTGATTAAACATTTTTTAATCTTATACTTGATTATTGTGATCTTGTCAAGATTTAATGTTTATTAAGCACCATTAAATTTAATTTTTTTTTTTTAACAAGTGAAATTTATAGCATTACTTTCACGTTATCACAAATGTATTATGGACTTTCTTTAATTTATAATATATCTTATAGAAAAAATCTAAATTGTATATCAAAATTAGTTGGGTAGAAAGAGATAGAATAATGGTGAATTTAAACCCTGAGTCTTTGCGTAGTTTAATGAGTTTAATTTAAAATTTCAATTTTATGGAATCAAACTTTAAACTTCAATTTGTTTTTAAAAAAAAAACTTTAAACTTGAATAAGGATGAAATTAACCTCTTTCCAAAATTAAATTAAAAAATTGTTGATAGACCAACTAATTAATAATTTTTTTTTTAAAAAAAGAGATATATAAGGGTGGTGTGTTTTCACTAGTTGAGTTATGATCTAATCGAACCATCGAACAAAAACTCAGCCAACAAAAATAAAAGTCATCCAAGAAATAACCCTCTCAACTAGTCAGTAGTCACAAATATAAGAAAGCATATAATAAAAACCTCAACTAATTAATAGGATTAAATTTAATGAATCAAAAGTTTGAGGATAAATTTTACCTACTAACTTTTTCATAAAATTAGTCATTAGGTTATATTTATTGTCATCGTTACCATAATTGACATGTTCATTCATTCTAGACAACCACTTTAAATAAAGTTACGTGATGAAAAGACCGCATAGCAAAATCAATCAACCAAAAGAAATGGTAACTTAAAAAAAAAACAAAAATTATGATTATTAACAAATTGGTATTGTTTTCAAATTTAACTAATCAAAATATTAGTAACCTTCTTTTAAATCTAAATCCTACCCCTGTTTAGGATTGTGATTACCGAAAAAAATTTAGCCTAATTTTAAGGGGTGACACATGACAGAATATATAATTTTGTGATACTGATAGAGTTAGAATTTAATATATATAATTTCAAGGAATTATAAAAAAATGACTTAAAAAACATTAATTTTAAAGCAACAATAATATAAGTTTGTTTGACCATATATTAGAACTAATTTATAAAATTTGGTATAACCATACAAAAAAAAAAAGAAATGAAAATATAAAGATTCTTGGAAAAGTTGGTACTGAGTTTCATATTTCTAAAAGTTGCAATAATGGTTTATAATATTAAAATTATTGTATAACTTATCATAAATTTTGACTTTCTACTAAAAGGAAAACTTTTATCCGAGTGTCTATACAATTTTATTTTGTAAAAGAAAAAGATATATTTGTTGGGACAAGAGGTTTCTCCAAATATCAAGAAACTCTCTGTCTTTAGACCCAATTTGATATATATTATTTGAGTTTTGGAATTATACTCAAAGTATATTTTATATGAATGTTGCATTTACTTATATATTAATTTTTTTTTCATTTCTAACCGATAAGAGATTATTTACTTTTCTCCATCATAATAAGTTAAATTATACTTTTCATCTCTACCAATAAGCATGAATTTCGCTTTTAATTTTCAATTTTAGAAAATTAGACTTGTTTTCTCCCTATATTTATGGTGTATCTTTCATATTTCTTAAAGACGAATTTCAGTTATCAAGCGAAAATTTTAAAATCAAAAATAAAATTTAAGAAACTATTTGATTTAGATTTTGAAAATATTTTTAGAGGCAGATAATAAAACAAAAGAAATACATATATAAGTGGGAGGAGTACCTATAAATTTAATTTTAAAAAAACTAAAGAGTTATCAAACCGTGTGTTATCAATTCTTTTAGTTCAACAAATATGGGTAGGAATTTTATATCGAGGTGAGTCAAGGATGGGGATGATTCCATCCTCGTCCCTGCCCCCATTTCATTCCCCATCGCGAAGGGAAATGTTCTACGAAATTTTGCACAAACTTGTGGGGATCAGATTCAATTATTCTCCATTTATTATCATTATTGTCGTTGGAGGTGAATTCTCAACCCACACGTGACATGTTATGGTTCATCAAACAGAACATGTATCGTCCTGCACGGTGTGTTTACCTTTGGCCATGGATCCTCATGCCGAACCGACCATATGTGATGGCCGAGCCGACCAAATGTACGACTTTGACCACTTCGACTCAACCTATTCTCCGACAAGCTCTGCGACATCACACCGCACTTCACGGCAACTTTAAAGAGCCGTTGAGACCTTGTCGAGAACCCTATCGGGGATGCTGCCTATAAATAGGATCATTCCGCTTCATTCTAAGGTATGTGATCAAATCAATTCTCTCTCTCGAGTTGACTTGAACGCTTACTAACTTCAGCATCAAAGTTTTTACTATGTTTTACAGGTCCTCTGCACGGCATCCGGAGCTCTCTGTCTAGCTCGTCTTAGCCGAAGCTTGGAGACTTGGTCATTTCTTGATCAAACAATTATTATTTGAGTTCAACCATTTATTATCGTTTTCAAAGTGCGGGGATCGGATTCAATTATTCTCTATTTATTATTATTGTTATTATTATTATTATTATTATTATTATTATTATTATTTGAGTTCAAACCATTTATTTTCATTTTTAAAGAATTTCCCTGTTAAATGTTAATTCTCCACGTCAATTATCTCCATTTAAAAGGGCGTTAAATCTCCATGAAAAATCTCTATTTAAAATGGAAACTCTTAAGTCCTCTAAAAATAACGTTGCATAATTCATTAAAAAACAAATCCTAAAATTTAAATTTCACAATTAAAATTATCACTACAATAAGTCTCAAAATGTAAATATCGCCACAATCTCTCTTAAATCAACAAAATGTCTAATAAATTATATATAATAATAATAATAATAAAATAAATAGAGTGAGGACGATAACAAGGAACATATTCTCCGTATTTGTTTAGGTCATACGAAAATTCCCCCCACCCCGTCATCTCGTATGATGTTTAAATGGAAATTTCCAACCCTATTATTTGGGATAGGTCCACGAAAAAGTAACTGTTGTTGTCGCCTTTTTTTTTAAATACAACGTGGGTGAGGGTAATTAAACTCACAACATAAGATATATATATATGTCAGTTACCGTTAAACTATGTTCTTGTTATCTTATCCATTGAGTAACACTCCAATTTAACAATAACTCATCTTATCAATTTTAAGGTTTCTCATTGATGAATAGTATTAAATGTGAACGTAGGTGACATTTATGTGCTCAACAACTTTTATTTTTAGTAATTATTACATTAACTATATATATATATATATATCTTTTTTTAAGGAAAAGTATTAACTTTATCCCTTGTTGGTTACGTAAAATTAAAATGAATGAAGTAGGGTAGGTAAAGCTTTAGTTCAACCAAAAAATCAAATGCCTTCATGAGAAATTTCGGCTCACCTCTCCAAATTATAATACATTTAAAAAAAAAAAAAAAATCTCTTGCCTTTTCTATATTGTTTGACCAAGCAATTTCTGCTATAAATATCTCAAAGGCCAGCATTAGAAAATCACACCACCGCTTTCAACAAAAAGCCAAATTAAAGTTCTCTCTCTTCTTCCTCCACCGCTTCCTTCATCTCTGCAAATTTTTTGGTTGAAGAAGATGAGTCTTAATAGTTGCTACGCAGCACCACCTCTTAGAAGGTAATTAGTTTTTAATGGCGAACCCATTTTCAAAAACTATTGAAAATTAGATTAAATATATGTTTTTTCAGGCTTGAAGGGAAGGTGGCGATCATCACCGGCGGCGCGAGCGGGATCGGAGCCACCGCTGTGCGCGTTTTCCATCAGAATGGAGCTAAAGTGGTCATTGCAGACATCCAAGACGACGTCGGCCAGAAAATCGCCGATGAACTCGGCGATGATGTCAGCTACGTCCACTGCAACGTCTCCAAGGAAGAAGACGTCAGCAATCTAGTGGATGCTGCTGTGTCTCGGCATGGAAAGCTCGACATCATGTACAACAACGCTGGGGTCATCGACCGTCCCTTGGGCGGCATATTGGATGTAACAGAATCGGACATAAAAAAGGTAACTTGGGGACCGTTCGATAACGTTACTATTTTAAGAAAAATGAATTAAGATTACGTGGGATCATAGTTTTAAGAAAAATGAATTATGATTACTTGGGATCATAAGCCTACATGAAGTTACCTATGATAAATCAATTTTTTTATTTATGTTTTTGTAACACATTAGAAACAGGAATTGAAAAAAGAAAAAAAAAACTTGTTACAATTTTGAAAATATTCTTAGAAAATGAGAAATAAAAACATGGTTAGTTACAAAATGTTCAGAGTTTTAAAGAAAATTGAAAAGGAAAAATAAGAAATAAAAACATGGTTACTTGCAAAATATTCAAGGTTTTAACAAAAATTGAAAACGAAAAATAAGAAATATTCAAGGTTTTAACAAAAATTGAAAACGAAAAATAAGAAATGGAAATATTATAAAGACTTGTACGTTGTTTCTCTTTTTTTATTTTATTAAAAGGTTTAAGTATTTTTAATGGAAAATAAGAAATGGAAATATTATAAAGACTTGTATGTTGTTTCTCCTTTTCGATTTTATTAAAAAGTTTAAGTATTTTTTTTAATAAAAAAGAGAGAGAATCAACTTTTATTTATTTATTTTACTAAAAATGAGGATATAGAAACAAGAAACGAGAGAATTATCACAGGATAATTTTATGAGCTTGACTTATAAGTTAATGTATGTTCATATTTGTTAGGTGTTGGGAGTGAACGTGATGGGGGTAGTTTGGGGGGCGAAGCACGCGGCAAGGGTGATGGTACCAGAGAAAAGGGGGTGCATTTTATTCACCGGGAGTGCAACGACGAGCATCGCAGGGCTAGCAACGCACCCGTATGCAGCATCGAAATACGCAGTTTTGGGGTTGGTTAGGAACTTGGCAGTGGAGCTTGGGCAGCACGGGATTAGGGTGAACTGTGTTTCGCCGTACACGGTGGCGACAGGAATCGCAGGACCGAAAGATGCGACGCAGGTAGCAACGATGGAGAGCATGGTGAGCGAGTGGGGGAACCTCAAGGGACGGGTACTAAAGACCGACGATATAGCGAAAGCTGCCCTTTACCTAGCTAGCGATGAAGCCAACTATGTGAGTGGACTCAATCTTGTGGTCGATGGAGGATATAGTGTCGTCAATCCTACAATGTTCAAGGCTCTTAAGCTCATAGATTGAAATGGAAATTTAGGGATTAATTCCTTTCTTAATTTGTTATGCTTAAACTAAACTTGGTCAATTGAACTTTTGGAATGAATAATTTATGGATTTGGAATACCTAACATGAATTACATGATGTGTTTTAAAGTTTGATTTTTCCGAGTTTGTTGAATTTTTGGTGTTCGAACTTTCGAAATGTCTATCTTAGTTTCTAAAATCTTAAAATATATTAAATTTATATTATTTTCAAAAGTTAATGTGACATTTATTTCTTCTAGAGATAGTTCATCTAATGAATCAAAATGAACTAAATTGAAGCAGCATAAAGTGCATAAACACTTGAATTGTGTTCTAAGTTGTTTGTTTGTATTCAATAATTGTTATTCAAAATGGAATAATATATATTTAATAAGAACCAATATCTTGGTTCATACGTTAAGATCTTAAAATAATTAGAAAACATAGTGTAAAAGATACTGATTATTTTTACAAAGGGAAAGCTACTAATTATTATTCCTTCTTCTAATGTAGACATTTTAATTTGAAGTCTACCATTTTCAAACTCATTTATCTATATATTTTTAAACAAAAAAAAAATTTCTCAATTATCTTAATTTTTAACTCATTCATCTCTATACTTTTTTTTGGTATACTTACAACCAATCAACTCTCATTTATCTTAATTTATAATAAACAGTCAATGTTAATTAATCACAAATATTACTTTATATACATTTTCTTATTTTCTAAAAACGGCCAACTTTCAATTATTATATGGTGCAAGATATTCTTACTAAACTAATTAATCGATGGTAATAATTAATGGATGATAATGATTTATATTTAATATTAAGTTATATATATGTGTGTAAAAGTTTGGCATAAATTAGATATATAACATTATGAGTGTTAATTTTTTTTATAGGGACGGTACAGCAAGGATCCGCTCTAAGCAGGATGGGGTATCCCGACCTAGCCTTTAGGCTCCTTGCAAGGTACGGATGTGGACGCTTTGTCCAGTGAGATTATTTTTAATATATATTAAAAGCTATAAGTATTTAATTTTTTTTCTTTTAAAGGGAGATGATTTAACTATTTTCACAAATGAAAATTAAAGCATTTAATTATAAATTTTTATAAAAAAATTCTTTATCTCACTTTTACCAAAGTTCAAAACCTTGAAATTGAAAATTTACCTACTTCATTAAGTTTAAGGATAAGAATTGACTTTTTTAAAAAATATATACTTATATTTTTAGGAATATATTACTATTACATTGAAATGTCAAGACACTTGTCAAAACCAATTGTTTTAAAGTATTGAATGAAAATTTTTGACGGATTGCTTTTATCAAAATATAACATATCTAAATTCATCAGGTAAATCTCTTTCTTTTGAGTTCAACAAAAAGGTAAGAGATTTAAACTTCTGACGAGAACTAAATAATACCTTAATCGATTGAGATATGCTTATGTCGACGGGATTCAAACCAGCCAACCAGCCCGTCCAAACTAAATCGAATTATTTTGGTTTTTTTCCATTAAACCAAATGGATCATCAAGGGCCAATAGGGGCATGGAAGCCCAACCCACAGTTGAAGGAGAGGTGGGCTTTCCTTTGAAGCCCAGCAAATCCCCAGTGGCCCACTAATTGATCCTCCAAACAAATGTAAACGCCCATACCCAAAAAACCCTCTTCTTCCTCCAAACAAATTATTATTATTATTATTTTAATAATTAAGCTTTGATACACTACTTCTATCTATGTATTTCTTTATTTGAATATCTAATTTTTTAGAACGTTTTCAAAATCTAAGATAATTGTAGCTACCAGACATAATTTTTAGAAATAAAAAATAATAATAATAATAAACCAAATGATTATCAAAGAAAGCTTTAATTTTTGTATTAAATTACAAATTTAGTTTTTAGCTTCAATTACTCCTATTCAAACTAAACTTAATGTAACACATGGACTTTCTCCATTTCTTTGTAATTTTGTTCTCTAACATGTCTCAATATCTCTAAAACCTTTTTTTTTTAGAGTTACTGCTATGAGTGAAGAAATTGGCGGTGATATTTGCAAATTTTCAACGATCACCTTCTGTTTCAAATTTTTATTCTTTGTCAAATAAATTTACAAGGCTTATAGTTATACTTGACAACTGAGAAAGGAAATTTTAAAATTCACTTTATTAGGAAAAGAAATCGAGCTCTTTACTTGAAGTGGAAGTCTTAACACACGACAATACTTCTTTGACTCTCCCCTGTTAGTCTCCGTCTCTGACTCAGCATCTTTTCTGCTCCGAGTAATCACCCTGAATCAAAAGAAAATAGATAAATCGACTAAAAATCAATGAGAATCAATATGAACAATGCTAATCGATCAACTCACCAGACAACACTAGTTTAACAATTCGATAAGATTCTACTTTGATTTTCTAGTGGTTTGACTCCATTTCTCGTTATTTTTACATTTCTAATGGGTCCGATTTCGGATTTCCTCCAAAACCAAGCTGAAATGACTCGCTTACACCCCCTAATTGCAACTATATCGTGAATTTCAAAGAAATTGTTAATTATATTATTTTCTATTATATTTTTTTTCATTGAGGGTGGAATGGTCCTTTTCTCATATTTACTAGTCTACTATTTTAAACTATCTCTCTTTTTTTTTCTTTTTTTTTTTGGTTTGGAATATTCTACCATTTAAACCTTGTTGATACAACAAGAAACCTTTTTTTTTTTTGGTGTGGGGAGACAAGAAACCCTGTGTTGTTTGTCTTTTTCTCCAATTATTTATTATCTTTTTCTCTGAAAAAAAAAAAAGAATACATCCACCAATAGCTAGATGCCCTAACAAAATGTACAACAAAAGAAAATGAAAATGAAAATGCAATAAAAAAAAATACAAACTTATTAACTATTGTCTTTGTTTGGACAAATTGTCTGTCCAATAGACTGTTTTTTTCCCACCAAACATGTGATCAAATAAACCAATCAACGCATAGTTTAGTCGGTAAGATACTTAATATCCTTTATAAAAGAAGATATTTAATACCATCTCAAACGTTAAAATATTTCAATTTTTCATTTCGTAACGGTCACATTAAAAAAAGTTACTACGATTATATAATTAATTGATTTTTAGATTAGAATAGCATAGCAAAAATTCAGTATTAATAGAATAGCAAAAATTCAGGTCACCATTTTTATTTTTCCAACATTATTTTTAATACAACAACGTGTAGGATGGAGGGAGATTCAAACTCAGGACCTTTAAGTCAGAGATTAGTGTTTTCATCATGTGTTTCATGAATTTAATCGTACTTCCGTACTTGTGGATAATGTCAAACCTTTCAAATGGGCTAAATCAATGTGTGGAAATTTCGTCAAAATTATGTAACTTTAATGGCAACTCAATCTAATAGTTTTTAATGAAGTTTCTTTAAAAAAAAAAAAAATTAATCTCCTATGTATTAACTATTTTAATTAAATCCTCCCTTATCATGTCAATAGATGTTGAAATAACTTTTTCAAAAAAAAAAAAAAAGATGTTGAAATAAATAATATGATTATAAATACTATATATAAATTTAAACATCAAGTCACCGCTTATTAATGAAATTTAATATTTAAAAAAATAAAATTTATGATTTTGCTAAAAAAAAAAGAAAGAAATTTAATACTTAATGAGATAATAAGGATTTAATTGAAAAAGATTCGAACACGATTAGAACATTTTGAACAAAATTAGAAATAAAATTGAATGATGATACCAAATCCGAATATTTTAAAAATTGGCAAATATTCTAATTTGAATGTAATCCATAAATTATTAAACACTTTTTGAGATATTATCTAAAAGAAATAGACAATTCTACATCTTGTGATAATATATGCCCGAAATGTCACAAGATCGCTGGGTCAAATTGTAGGCCAAGTTCATTATGAGGAAAATAATAATACTAATAATAAATAAATAAATAAATATCATATAAATAAACCAACCGACACAAATAATGACCACATAAGAAAAAAAGTGTGGAGGGCGCGGGGCCAGTAGTCTTCTTCCCTCCTTTTCTTCTCCTTTCGGCGAGGGAGTGCATTTTCATTTTCTTTCTGTCTTTCCACTATTTTCGACTAAATTTTTTCAGAGGGTGTTCCTTCCTATTTTGTTATAATTCTTCCATGTTTTTCTTCAAAAAGTAGCATGGATGCAAATATAATATGAAATTTTTTTACTATTGTGAAACCGATTTCAAGGAGGATTCCTTCTTCCCTACTGGTTTCTGTGATGGCAGACGGTGGTTCGGGATCTTCCTGTTAGATGTCGCACCTGACAAAATCAAAGGCAACATATTGTTATGTATGGTTTGTGACTTCGTCATATAGTTGTTTCATCATGGTCCAGGGGTAAGAAAGACGGAGCAGAAGGCGGCAACGAAGGTGCAGCGACGATCGACTTGAATACCATTTTGGAATGTGGAGAGACTATCAGTTTTAATTATATTAGGATCCATGACCAACATGATTTGTAGAATTTGTCTAATCCTTCCTTATCTACTAGGTGGAGAATAAGACAATTTTGGAGGCAATTATTTCCTTTTCAATTGTGAATAGGGGAACCATAATTGATAAAATGCCTCGATTAATTGAGGATGTTGTGACTTTGGATAAAGTGTTTAATTTATTGGGCTAAAATATGTTCATATTCATAATTCTTCGAATAGACAAGTTGTTTTATTGGACAAGTGGATCATTTCTGATTGTTTCTCTGTCCTTTGTGACAACTGTTTTTCTTCGTAGATCGTGATGATGATGCGTGTGGTCACCATATTCTCATGTAACCTTTGGTGGTCTTTTTTCTTTTTAATGCATCGTTTTTTTGTTTCAAGGAAAAAATAACAACATAAGAAAGTAAATGTGTTTCTTTGTTTAAAAAAATGACCGCATAAGAAAGTAAATTAAACGATTCCTCAAGACCTATCAACGTAGATTTCTTGATTAGAGCAAAATCCATTATTTCATAAACTACATGAAAGGAAAAAAAGACAAAACAAAGCAAACAAGCAAGCCAAACTGTCGATCGTTAATTCAAAAGGAAACATATAAAAGCTAGTGATCAAATTTACCTAAACTTGTGGGTATTCAAATATTTGAATAGACGAATTAACGATGCCAAAACCTCCATCGATCAATAGATTGTGTCCGCTCACGTACTTCGCTTCATCGCTTGCCAAAAACAAAGCTGCATTGGCCACATCTTCAGCTTTAAGCGTCACACCCTTTAAATTTGCCTTAGAGTTCATTGAATTCTCAAACTCCTCATTATCCAACCCTACAAACTTTGTAGCCAAAGGTGTGGCCAATGCATATGGAGATAAACAATTAACCCTAATCCCAAATTGGCCTAACTCAACGGCAGCATTTTTGGTTAACCCAACCACAGCGTGCTTTGAGCAAGTATAGGCATGTGAGGCTGCACCTCCAACATATGAGGCCACACTTGCAGTTGATATTATGCTTCCGCTTCTCGTCGGGATCATTGCTTGAGCTGCGTGTTTGATGCCGAGGAAAACTCCGGTGACGTTTATGCTGAGCACTCGTTCGAAATCTTCTTTCTCATTGTCGATGATTCGCGGTTTGCTGGCGTCAGCTATGCCTGCGTTGTTGAACATGATGTCCAACTTTCCAAAGGCTTCGATGGCCTTGTGGATGGCGTTTTTTATGTGGGATTCGTCTGTGACGTCACAGTGGACATAGAGGGAGTTGGAGGAGCCAAGTACCTTGCAAACTGAGTGGCCAAGGTCGTCTTGGATGTCTGCAATCACTACTTTGGCACCATGGTGGGCAAAAACTCTTGCCGTGCATTCGCCAATGCCACTGGCTCCACCAGTTATCAATGCTACCTTTCCCTCTAGCCTGTAACACATTGGAGCTCTACTTATTTTTTGTTTCGGTTAATTTTGATTACTATACTTTCAACTTTATTTATTTTAGCTTCTATACTTTAAAATGTTCGATTTGATTCTACTGTACTTTGGAAATGTTCTAACATAAATTTTATGAATTTTATACATAATACACGAAAACCTTTAATACAAATTTATGGATACATTTCAAAAAAATTATGAGTGAAGATATTACGTTAAAATTGTGATGAAAAGAAATGAAATAAAAATAAAAATAAATAATCCCACAATCCACAATAATATACATAGGTTATTATTTACTAATCATCTAATTATTTGGATGAAAAATGTCATCACAAAATAAAATATCTTATAAAAATGGCACAGGCATGTATATTGGTGATGTATTTTATACAAGGTATTAGGGCTGATGAAACCAAGTCAAAAAATCGATCCGACCGACTAAAATCTATCGAACCGATGTCGGTCGATGTCAGTTTTTCTCTATAAAACATGGACTAGTTGGTCGGTCGGCTCTTCCAATATTAAAGAAATCGAATGAGGAATCGATTTATTTAGAAAAAAAATCTAAAATTTCTTCCTCGAGAGAGAGAACTGCACAGAGAGAAACGAGAGGATAAATGACAACTGAGAGTGAAAAAAAAAGAAAGATGTAAGAGTAAAGAGGAGGAGAAAAAAAATAGAAAGCCACGTGGGTCGAAAAATATAAAAGAGAAAAAAATCAATTTCACGTGATTCACGTGAGTTATATATAATATTTATTTATTATTATACTATACTTTTTTACCATCTTTTCTATCCCACCTAACCTACGTCGCGCTTGAGTAGTCCTTCCTTTTTATCTCATTCCTTCTTCTCTTTTTCGTTTCTCTCTCTACCATTTTTTCTCTTTCTTCCTTCTTTCGATCTTCCTTGCATTTCAGACACACAAGTACAGTTCTCTACTCTTAAAAACCGGTCAAACCGACCGTTCGAACAGTCGGTTAAACGGTCGGTTTGTATAGAGAGATAAAAAAAGAAAATTTTCCGACCGCTGACGTCATCAATGATACAAGAATAAGCATATTATTAGTATACTTCTTCAATGATATAAAAAGATCATTTATTCTCACACACATCCCAAAATATCAATATAAGTAAAACTATTTAAATATTCAAAACGTTTACCTAAATAGCATAAAATAAATTGGTATTATCAAATAAACATAATATAAAACGCACTAATTAGAAAATTCACACTTCTGCTATATTTTTAAAAATTGAGAAGTTCTGGCAACTTACATATTAAATTTATTTTATGCTATTTATGTAAATACCTAAAAAAGAATATAGAAAAAAAATATATATATTTTTTTTTTGGAGATAGAGGAACTAAAGAGAAGAAAAATTCAGAAGGAAAGCCAAATAGTTGTGTGGGTGTAATTTACCTCTTAAGCTCAGTGCTTGCCATTTCTTCTTCCTCACACAAAATTTTTCTTCTTCTAGAGGGAGAGAGATTGACTATAAGGGGTGGGTTTTGGTTTATATTTATAATGGAAAAAGGAAATAGAAGATTAAACAAAATTTTTTAAAAATTATTTATTTGGGAATTAGAATTAATTTCAGTTTCAATAAAGACAAGATAAGAATATCATCTTGTGTTTTGAGAATCTTATCTTTAGATTAGACTTATTTTAAAAATTAAGGTCAGAAAATTTTCTAAATTGGAATAAATAGTTTTGAAAGATGTTAAAATCTTAAAACTTTTCATTTTATTTTATTTTTCGAATATAGCGCTCATTTAATTTTCGGTTATTCTGTTTTGTAGTATTCGAAACTTATGTTGAACTTGGATCATGTTTTTGAAGGGTGTATTTAGTTGGCGATGAGAAAACAGAAATTTGAAAAGTGGGATTCAATGAAAACGTTTTGAGTGTTTTCAGATATGTATTTGGTAGTAGATTTGATAATTGAATCTCAATTTAAAAAATTGTTCGATGTGTGTTTAGTAATATATTTGTAAACTAGGGGTAGTTACAAACTAAATTTTATTTTAATCTAAACTTATATTAATTAATTTATTAACATTTTTTTATAAATTTTGTATAATTATTATTTTACAAGGTTATATAATTTAGAATACTTTATATTTTACCTGTTCTAATTTTAACAAACATAAAATGAATTTGTAACATGAAGTAATATATTTATCAAATTTTTCATCCTGTTTTATGCAATTCTGCAACTTAAAAATTTCAAATTCTGAATCAGAAAACACTGAAAACATACAAAAATCGTTTTCAGAATTTCTACTGTGATAGGAATTCTTCGCTCAATCTGTTTGATTCAATGAATCTGAAAACAAAAAACAGAATTCGGATTTCCAACCAAAACAGCCCCTGACTTTCTCGCTGAATTTGAAAATTTCTCAAAAAGTAGACAAAGAAAAAAATGATAAATCAATTTTTATGATGAAAACATGATTTATTAGTTCACAAGTTTTAGATAATATCTTTGAAAAAAAATCATCGAAATTCATTAATGGGGCGTTTAATTCAAGAGAACACAGATTTGGACTTGGTTTCTAAAATGGTTTCAACTCTGATTTCAAACTTACTTATGGTCTAATACAAGCAATTTTCTATGTTTAAGAGTTAAAAATTAAGATGTTGATTTTGAAAAGTGTTAGGTATTCAAAAATTTATTTCTCTTTTTAAAAGTTAAATATTGGAGCTTTTAGCTGATTTAAGACGATATTTACTCAAAATATCTCTTACAATTAGGGTGTACAATAGCCGGGTTAAATTTTGTTCCTAATTCATAATTAATTTCATTTTTGTCCCAAATTTCTAAAAAAAAAGGTTTTCACTTTAAATTTTTACTGCAATAAATGTCGAATACAGATTTGAACCTCCAATCTTGAAAAAAAAAAAATTAAAATAAAATAGTCGACACTATTATCGAATCGGTGTAGGATAGTATGTTGATAAATGAAGTATGTTCAATCATATATCCTCCTTGTTTTAACTTCAACCCGGATGAAATCTCAAAGAACAGAAAGTTCTACGAATTTATTCTCATTGACACAAAATCAGTAGAGATTATTCACACACTGGATCAAAACGGTTTGTCAAAAATAATATTTTCAAAACTAAAGATTCACAATATCCTGACTCTTTCACATTGGAATCAAGGACTTCACACACCAAGATCATTTTCAAAGAGATTCATTCCTCGTAAAGTTATTTATACAGAGACTACATAAGGGCTTAGTACAATGTTTTTTGTATCAAGCTTACAACTATTATTGGTTCATGGTATTTTGTAAGAACGCTTATAAGATGCATTTTCCATTATGGTTTCAATCATGGTGGATCACATGCATTTGGTCTTTGGAGGGAAATGTTTCCCCTACCAGTTAAATAAATAAATAACTCCCTCATACAACGCGTGGCGAATTGGCTTTCTGATGACAAATGCATTACTTGTCGGCAACCTTATTAAGGCGATATCTTAGGGTCAACATAAAAAATATAAAAAAATAAAAAGTGTGAATTTTTCAGCGACCACTTGTTAGCTGTTTTTCTATTTGTATTATCTCGTTGATTCCGTGAATTTTTTATACGGCAGGGCATGATAGAGATAGCTACCACCTATACTGTAACTAACCAAGACCACAAATTTAGCATTGTTTATCATAGGGAGTCACGTCATTTGCTTAGCAAATTGTCAAGAAAAAAGTCTATTGAACCTCCAAAGGAATGCTTCGACAGTGGGATGCATGACGGCAATCTTAGGCGATGGATAACCATTTTGTAAGTCTGCAGTTCTTCATTCCTAATTCCAGAGGAGTGCCCATAAGTCTGCAGTGTTTTTCCAATAAAAAGACAGAAGATGCTCGAAGATATTGCATATCTATCTTTGTTTTACTTTTGTAAAATTGTTTGTTTGTAATTATTTTGCTTTACTTCATTTTCACGTAAAGATAACTCTCTTTATGGTGCAAGATATTGCATTTTAGTCAGCTTTATGGATTTTTTCTTCATGACTTTTTAAAATAATTAAAAACATAATGAATGAAAAAAGATTTTTTTCCAACTAAAGTAGAAAGGTTCATTTGAAAATCACGCATCCTATGTCTCAAAGTCTTCTCCGTCCATCAAAATGTCGGAAATTTAAATTCTCATCTCCACGGCTTATTAAATTAAAAACAAAAGTCTTCTTTTTCGTCAACTCTCTTTATAGTTGCATATGCCACCTCATTTCTCTCTATTTTGTTTTTTTATTTCACAATAATGTTAATTTTTTTCCTTATCCTTCTTTGTTATTATGTGATATTTAATTAGGATTAAGAAGGATTATACTAATTTATCATCACAATTTGGTCACTTTCCTTGTCAACTTGCTTTTGTAGAGTTTTCAACTCTTGTACAATTACGGGAAAGTCCTCAATGAAAAAAAAAACAATGTATTTAGTTTATAAAGGTTTAACCCAACTATAGTTTATTAATGTGTACCAGAGTTAATTAGAAGGTGTTCAATTAGTTAACTTTAGTTCTGGACTGTGATCCATTTCTATTTTTATGTTTTCAAAAATAATTTTGGAAAAATAATGATCTAAGAAATCACATTCTTTTTTATTCATCATATGTATAAATGGAGGTAAAAAATTGAATATCTAATTGAGTAGAAATTATTGTTCACACGAAATTTTTTATATTGTTTATATGTATTATATGGTAGTTTCAATATCTAATCTTTATCTCTTCAAGTCTTTAGAAAATCTTCAATTTTGTTTGAATTCTCTCAATTATAAAATTCTGAACCCTCCAAATGAATGAGGTCTCATCGAGAGGTTTTCACAGGTTTGATGGGACTTTGGGTTTGGATAATTTTTAGTCCAGCCCAATTCTTTAAATGGATTTAAATTTATTTAAATTTCAATATTAATCTATATGTAAATTGGGTTTTGGGTTAAGTCGTAAATGTAGGGATTATTGAGATTAAAAAAAAAAAAAACTGTTCAAGAATGTATTTTTGGAAAAAAATTTTAAAAGAAACATTATTAAAAAAATTCCCACAAAAGAAGTTAATTTAAAAAAAAAAAAAACCAAATGGTTATCAACTCAATCTTGGTAAACGAGACTCCACCCATTTAGAAAGATTTCATCTCTTATATAGTAGCTATTCAATTAGAATTTAGAAAATTAAAAGACATGTTTCTTTCTTTCTTTATATTTACGAGTGTTCGGACCAGCTAAAATAACCGTCAGACCCTATAATATTTGGTGCCGAGAAGCACATAAAAATTACTAATTCCTAAAATAGGTAGTCATCATAGAGTCTGAACCCATTCTATCTCAATCAACCCACCTATGATGGTTCGTCTTCAGGACTATTGCTCTGTCAAAACCCAATGATCGAATTTTTAGTCGAAATTTTCTAATTTCTATAGACCTTACTGCATAAGAACAATGCATTTTCTTCTATCATGTAATTAACCCTCCACAGAGCCTTATCATTTATTTTTAGCAAATCCAAATGTCAGGCGAAGAATCTAAATTCGTCTTCAAGACTATTGCTCTTGTCAAAGCCCCTATAAAACAAGAAATGTAGTAAATATTTGAACTTCTTGACAAATGGGTTAAATAACATTCTCCTACCCTCTAAACTTACCCCATAAATTTGTCTGAAGTTAAGTATGAAATCGCAACCGCAGCATGAAGGGAAGCTCCAACAGGAAGAACTTGCTCGTCTAGGACGAGGTATGGCGAGTGCAACGGTATCCCAGAATTGATCGTTTTGTTCTTCGCTCCGATCATGAAAAATGCAGCAGGCATCTCCTGAGAGTAGAAGCTGAAGTCCTCAGCTGCCATAGCCATGGAAATATGATGCACATTTGATTCTCCTAGCAAATTTTCTCCCACCCTCTTCACATGGCTGTACAATGCTTCGTCGTTGACAGTAGCTGGGTAGAACCTTGATACATCTTCCATGAAGTCTATGGATGCAGTACACTGATGCACAGCTGCTTGGAACTCTATGACCTGGTGATAGTTATCCAAGTCAGCCAACAAAGTTTTTTGCCTCAAAATTCTGTAAACTGATTGATTATTTTTCCTTATTCTGCAAACGTTGTTAGTTGATGTCGATGTTAGTCCATCAATTCACCGGGATCTTTCGATGTGGGTAGTGTGGATCCATATATAAAACAGAGGGGGAGGGTACCTGTTGAATTCTTTTCTGGAGGTAGGAAAGACCTTCCACAGTCATGCTTCGAAAAGTACCTCCAAATGTTACGGTTTCCGGTATCACATTGTCTGCTTGGCCACCCTGAACAAACCCCACAGTGATCACCTACCAAAAAAGAACATGGTTTCTGAAAATTTCATCGCTAAAATTTACAGCAAACATTGGAGAGCAATGTAACACATAATGAATATGGTTAAACTATGGTCTTCATTTCTAATGAACTTCAATATAATTTTAAGCTTTTAATCCATTTCAATTCGATCTTTTTATAAGGACAAATTGCAACATAAACTAAAAGTTACCAATTGTGACTAATGCAAAGAGAGAAACAAAAAAAGAAAAAAACAGTTTGAAGACAAACAAAGCAGAGATAGTTTGAAGAATATTTTCCATGTTTAGTTCGGGAGATGAGATTACCCTGGCTTCAAGAGGATCTGTTTCTCGAGAAATTATGTGTTGGAGCGCGATGATAGCAGTGGACATAGCAAGAACTGGATCTCTTGCTATATGAGGCATTGCAGCATGTCCACCAACTCCATGAATTTTGGCCAAAAACCTACCACTAGCAGCCATAACTGGACCAGCTCTTGAACCCACTGTTCCTGTTGGCATATCTGGAGAGACATGTAACCCAAATATGCCTTGGAAGTTGTCCAGAGCACCCTCTTGCAGCATGTGGTAAGCCCCAGCACGACCCTCTTCCCCAGGTTGGAAAACAAGCTTCACTGTGCCCTTTTAGAATTCACAAACAGTTTCCACAAATGAACCATTTCAATCAAATATCCAGAGGAAGAAACTGAAAATGGAAAGAAAAGAAAATGAACAAGCTGACAGAACCCGAACTAGAAATATATTGAAATATAAAAGATAGAATAGCTACAATATCTCCCAAATAAATCGAGGTACGTGAACCCTCCCCTCTCTTGAGTATTCTTACTCAAGTCTAAAGTCTAAACCATACTTACTAATTGCCTACCTTCATCCATACCTCTTCATTGTATTCATAATCAAAACTCCCAACCCAATTACTAATACACTCTCGATATCCTAATAATATCCCCAATTCTATCCTAACAGTAATCCCATCACGAGCAAAAACCTTAAACTAGTACCTCGGTTTCTCCTAATTGTGAAGATTGATATAAATATATGTATATCTATATATTACCTTTAGCTCATTTCTTCTCTGCTGAAGTAACTTCGCAGCTCCAAGAAGCATTGTCACATGAACATCATGGCCACAAGCGTGCATTTTGCCGCTGTTCTTGCTCTTATGCTCCCATTCAACCATTTCCTTTTAAAAGAGAATGCAACCATATCATTCAGACTTAAGCATATGTGCAAATATTGAAACCTCTACGATTCCCAAGAACAGAACAGAAGAAGTAATCGATTTTTAGTTAAATTCTCACCCAATCAGAAAGAATTGGAATGAATCTAATTGTAATATTCTGTGCAACTCGATGTGTTCATCCCCAATTTCTCCAGAAATGGGAAAATATTAGGTCGTAGTTTGATATGAAAAATTGAAGGCAGAATTAGGATTCAAAAATGGAAATCTATGGTAACGGATTGAAACCTGAATAGGAAGAGCGTCCATATCAGCCCTAAGAGCGAACCATGGGTGCGCGCCTGATCCAATGGAGGCGACAATCCCGGTCTTAGCGACGGGCCACGTGTAGTTAATCCCAAGAGAGTCGAGCTCTGCTCGAACGAGTCGACTCGTTTCGTATTCCTCGAACGAGAGCTCTGGATTCTCGTGCAGTTTCCTCCGAGTCCTAACCAACCAGTCGAAAAACTCGGGATTCTTCGCCGACTCCAAAAGCTGCCGAGTTAGATGACTCAGCTCCAATGGCGATCCGATTTCCTGACCACATGATACACAGATTGGGAATATGAAAATTACTGCCCACAAAAGCATCCGTTCCATGGGAGAGGATCACCGGATCTTCCTGCGATAAAATTCCTAACGATTTCGCTCAAGACGATGACGAGGAACTCACGAACGAAATTCCAACTTTTTTTTTTGCCCTTTATTTCAATTTTCAAGAGAGTTCAAACTTGTAGTTGGACCGTTTATGGTCATCTCGTGCCTGACAATTTTTTGACAAAATATTTAAATTTTTGTTTTTATTTTTAAAAATATCTTAGAAATGAGAGATACATAAATACAAAATTAAAAGCTAATACTTATTAGACGAGAAAGATACTAGTAATTAGATCAAGTTATCCATTTATGCTTATAATTTAGACTTAATTTCAATTTTGTTCAATAATTTTTGAAAGTTTCAAGTGAGTCACTGTGATCTTGATTTAGTTTTAATTCGTGGTCCCAATATTTTAAATATTTTAAATGGCTCCCTTATTTTGACATTGACATGAGGACGAAATTCTCAAAGATAATATTTTGTAAGGATGGATCGTGCCAGATATAGTTTCAATTTGGTCCTTTTAATTTTAAAATTTTTCGTTTTGATGATTACAATTTAGTTAAATCTCACCCTTCGTCTATGTTGAGTAATTTGACCTAAAAATTATAATACCTGTGAAGTTTACCGTTAAAATGATATGGTCCTCTATTTATTTTTACATATAACAATTTATTTCTAACTTTTTACTCAAAGAAAAAAGAGAGAAGATTCTTATAGAATTAGTAAATTCGATAGAAATTTATTTAAAAATCATAAGAATTATAAGATGAAATGCTTATTTTGAATTTTTTTTTCCTAACATGAATAGAGGTGATGGAATAATAATAATAATAATAATTTTTTATAAGTAATAATAATGATAATGATAAAGAGATCAATTTTCAAATATTTGAGCTAAATTTATTTTGTGGACTGCAATAAGTGAATGAATTGATTTGATAATGTCCAATAAAAAGACGACTTCAATTCCCAAATTTACTAATCACCTCTTTTTCTGGTTTTACCTAATTTTGTTACTATTTTCATTATTTTTGTTTTTATTTTGGTGTCGTCTATTGTGCATTCCTAAGTTTTTATAATTTTTCGTATAAATATATTAAAGTTTTCGATAAATACAAAGTTTTAAAAATGGAAATTCTGACAAATAAATTTACTTTTATATTTTATATTTTTATTTTTTTCTAATTAAATATGAAACTTTAGAAGCACCTTGAAAAATATATGAATCCATAATAGCAATTATTTTTGTTGCTTTGGAAACTGTTTGTAGCCTCCTGATTAAGCTATGAAAACAGACTTTAGAAAAGGAAGGAAATAAATAAATAAATATATTTTGAGAAACAGTTGAACTTTTGGGCCAACCTAACACTTTGGAAGTTTTCGTTCTTACTTCATTTCATATTTTCAGTATTTTTTTATAGTAATTGTAAATTGAATTTCAATTTAAACAATTATTAAATATGTTTAGTAATATATTTAAAAATTAGTACTAATTACCAACCCAATATTTAGTTAATATAAAATATTATTAATTAATTAATTAATATATGTGTGGTAAATTTTGTTGAAAAAAGTTTTAAATGTTGTATATTATATAATTTATAATATATTATGTTTTACATGGTTTAATTTAAAAAAAGAAGTGAAATGAGTTTAGGATCTGAAATAGTATATTTATCAATTTTTTTAATATTTTCTAAGGTAGTAATTTTACCTTTAAAGTTTTAAGTTTAAAATCTAAAAATCTATGCTTTATATGATTCCTTTGAAATCTAAAAATATGTATCACTCAATGAATTTGAAAAAAAATCTGAATTGCATAATGAAAAAAAGCCCAGGCCCTCACTTTTTCAAATTGGATTTGAAACTCAGAGTTTCAAATAAGTGATAGAAATTAAGGTTTTTTTTTTAAAGGAAAAAAAACCAATAAATAGAACAAACGGCGGAAAAAATAAAATAAAAAATAAAAAAGGGGACAACACCTATTTTATTGTACAAAAATATACAAAGTGCTGAGAAAAAACAAAGCTCTTCTATGGTTGAAATTTTCCAAATACATCACTTCAATATTATCCAGTTCCAGATGGGCTACTGCATGAAAAGAGAAAGGCAAGGAAACAAGTAACAGAAAGAAAATTGAGGAACTTTTTGTACTGGAAGAAACCCAAAAAAGAGGGGAAAAAAATTCAAAGCATTGATTTTTCTACAAGAAACTTACAAAACATGAGCATTCTTCTATTTCACAATATATATCTACTGGGAAACTTGAGCAGCGGGCTGCTGCAACTTTTTAGCAGCTCCCAGTGATGGCAAGTAACAGCTTCAACCCGAAACAAGGGACTTTTCCCGACTCACTGAGTTGCATTTGCCTCATAAGTTATGCAAACGAGCACGGGAGAGCGGACGGTTCCTGTTGCCGGATTCTCATTTGTACTTCCTCGAACTTAGACCGTCGCCTCTAACCTCCATCAGCCTGGACTTCAAACCATTGCCCTGCACCAGGGAAGCTCTCTCCGGGACTGTATCGGTGAGATCTCTTGAGGGTCGTGCTTGTTCCCACAGCCTTGTTGGGCTGGCGGTGACTTTAACTGAACCGAGCCTCGACCCAGACAAGATCTGGTCTCTGAGATTCTTTGATGAATTGTATCCCTGAAAATGATCTCCATAAGCTTTTCCAGAAGCCACTTTGTCCAGTACAGAGCTTCTTTCCCAATCCAAGACATGGTCTCCTGAAATTGGATGGTTTTCAGATTGGATTCCCCATTCCACTCCATCAGAAATGCTTCTCTGTAGAGAAGTGCTTTTTCTTGATCCCTTCTTAGAAGTAGATTTTCTTGCCTTGAGTTCATCATCTATTGAAGGTCTTCTGGAATCAAGAGGAATGCCAGAAGAGTGGATCCAATCATAGCTTTTGTTGTTGTTGTCCATATTTAATTCTATAGAATGAAGATCACTGTCAGCCAAATCTTCTTCACAGTCCGCTCCATCTACGACTTCCCCTTCCTCCTTTTCTTCACTTTGAAGCGAACGTATCCCGTTTTTGTTTAGATATGTAGCAAATTTTACATCATTCAAGTCATTCGATCCAAACTCTTTCTCTTTCGACCTTTTGATCCCCAAGAATGCCTCGAGTTGGTTTCTCAGTTTATCGACTGCTGCATTTTTGTCCTCGAGATCGTACTTGGAATCCGAGGCATCTATGTGAGTCTGTTCCTCACGCAGCACAGCGGCAAGTCGCTTCATCTCTCTTTCTTTCTTGGTACTGTCGCAAAGTTTGGTGGATTCTCTCTGCATTTCCTCGACTTCTAACTTATCGTCCCCGACGTCGTTTGCCAAGTCATCACATACCTGCTCCATAATTTCCCTTGCTCTCTTTTCACTCTCAAGCTCTTTGACTACTTTGAGAAGTGATGACTTTGTCTCGGCCAGTTCTCTCCCCAGCTTCTTGTTCAAACTCTCAAACCTTCTCCGAAGTTTCCTTTCAACTTCAAGTTCTCCAGCTACGGACTCAATGGCAGCCTCCACCACTTCCTGCTCCTTGCTTTTCCATGCTTCCTTCTCTTCAGCAAAGCACCTCATCAGATAGCTTATGTCATTCTGCTCATATCTTTGCTCTTGGATAAGCTGATTGATCTGCAGTCGAGCCCTCTCCAGCTCAGCATGTAAGGCTGAGATTAGGGACATGCTCGTTGAAGGACGATCTTCATGGCCCCACACACGGTTAATAATTTTGAGAAGCTCCTTAGAAGTTGTCAAAGCATTACTAACATCCTTCAACCGCGTCCTAACTCCAACACTCGGTGCACTCGGAGTTTGCACCCTCGATCTCGTCTCAATCTACATTACAAACAACAAACCTCCGTACTTCAACATCCTTATTCGCCATTCAGTATAAAAGAAATCAGTAATCATAGTCATAATACAGAAGAAGAGAGGGACAAAACTCGGGGATAAGCTTAATGTTTCAAACAAAGACGTACAAATCAAAGCACATTTTGCAGTCCTCCAAGAAGCACATAAGACTAAGACTAAGATAAACCATACCTCCATCAAACTAGCATTGCTCACAGAATCAAGAACCCCGACACCGTGATCAGCAAGCTTTAGCCTCTGAGACATGGATGGAGTTCTACGACAGCGACTCCCCGTTCCCGAACGATCCGCCCTCTACAATAGCACAGACCCAAATATTTAACATAAAAGATACAAATCCCATATCAAAAACCAAACTGATCATAGCAACGAAACAACGCAGTGCCAGATCATATTGACCAGAAGTGGCATTTCATCACAGCCCCACATGTCCATCTCCTCTACTAATTTGAATTTCAAAACCAACGAATTGAAAATCTATCACTTTGTTTCACATCAAAGAGAAACAGTTCAATCAACAGATAAGAAGTAAACCGAACAGAGAAATCAATGTACAAGGTTTTAGATATCTGATGAAGAAGATCTAATCAACAAAACAAGAAGAAACGAATCAGAATGAGAAACAGAGCCAAAAAGCAGAAACCCACCTCGGAGACAGGGCTATGCGACGGATCGGAAAGATGTGGAGGCAGAGAACCAGAATGAACCGATCGTGTCGTTTTCTCTCTGGCCTTGGTTTCCTTTCTCGATTTCCTCTCGTCGGAGGGCACCCCCTCCT